CTCAGGGTGTAGGAATAGACCCTGGCCTCAAGGCCTACATGGGCCAACTTGGGATCTAAAGGCGTTAGGTAGTATGTAGGATTTGAATTTGTGTGGTGCGTTCTGTTTTGGGTTTATGGTTGTGCTCTGACGGTTCAGGGCTACCCATAGACCCTAAAGTAGTTCCTTTTTGGGGTTCATATATAGAATCCTATAAGGTAACCCCAGAAAGGAACTACTATGGGGCCTATGCGTAGTTTAGGGTTCAGAGTTTCGTTTTTGGTTCGTTGCGGGTCTTGGAGATGCCGGAGGATGCAGGGCTCGCAGCCTTTTCTGCGAAACATGCCTTTGCTGTACTGAGGCTGAGTGGCTTAGTACCTACCTATGGTATCCTTTGTAGTGCCTTGTTTGTGGTTGGCCCATCATTTTTGTATGAAAGGATCCTAACTATAGACCTGGCTAATTTCCCCAAAAAAAGGGAACTGCAAAGGGTCCATAGGAGGACCATAGTTCCGGGTTTGAGGCTCGGCTACTACGTCTAGAAGGGACTTCCACATCCACATCCGTATACTTTGCACTGCAGTTCTTCGCCCCCAAGACCCAGAAATCCTAGACGAACCTGATGATATATGAGGCCCTGGGCCATCGAACCCTACTCCAAACACTAACGTCGACACCCTAAACCCCATACCCCAAACCCTAACCCCCAAACCCTAAACCCCAAACCCTAAACCCCTAAACCCTAGATCCTAAACCCCTAAACCCGACCCCAACTGTAAAGAAAAACCCTAAACCCCTAAACCCCTACAACCCTAAATCCTAAACCTCTAAACCCTAAATCCTAAACCCCTAAACCCGACCCCAACTGTAAAAACAAAAAACCTAAACCCCTAAACCCCTAAACCCTAAACCCGTGCAACCCCCAAAGCCCAAAACTGTCAGCCCCCGAGCCGAATATGTAGCATAGAGGCCCTTTTAGTCATTAGAGTAGGGCTTTGAGGTTCCTTTAAAGGGTTTAGGGTTTAGGGTTTAGAGTATGGTTTTGGGATTCCCTTAAAGGGTTCCTTACAGGTTTCTATAAGGGGCTACTATACAGGTTTAGGGTGTAGGGGCCTTAGGAATTATAATAGGGTTTTGGGACCTATTATACTATACTTATAATAAGAAACCCCCCACATTAGCGATCCCCAGAAAGTTGGAATATGGATTTAGGATGATTCGTGCGAGAATTCCCCTGCAAAAGCCTTATACCTTACTCTAAGCTCTACACACTAAACCTTTATAGTAGCCCTTATAGAACCCTTTTGGGAACCCTTCGAAGGAACCCGCAAACAACCCTACTAGAATCATAAAGGCATTCGGATCATGACGTTCCAACTGTCTGGTTACTAGTTTGGAGGTCTTGAAGAATTTCAGATGCTGGTCCCTATAAGACCCTAAACCCCCCAAACCCTGAACCCCTAAACCCTAAACCGTAGACACCATCAAACCCAATCATTCCCTCCCCTCATAATCAAGACGCCCTTCGAAAACCCTGCACGGGCCCATATAACCCAGTACGAAGCCCTGCAAACAACATAAAGCCCATAGGGTTTAGAGTGTAGGGATTTAGCGTTTGGGTTTTAGGGTTTAGGGTGTTTAGGGTTTATAGGTTTAGGGGTTTAGGGTTTAGGTTTTAGGGTTTAGGGTTTAGGGTTGTGTTCAGCTAGTCAGTCTAGGACCTTTTCAGGTGGGTAGTTACCATTATAGGAGCCTTATAGAAGGTCTATATACCTTTTAGACAGCCTTGTAGAAGCCTTAGATTATATACTCTAACCCCCCCCCTAAGCCCTAAACCCCAAACCCTAAGCCCTAAACCCTAAAACCCCTAGTAGGTTCCTTTAAGTCAGCTGTTCATTTTGTAGAACCATCGAACCTGCAAGCAAGGCTGGTGCCGTCTGGAGAGGGCCTGTCGAGAGCTCTCAGCAAATGGCACTTGGGTGCTGATTCAAGGAAAGAGCCTTCGAATTAACATGGAGGTTTGCAGTGAGAGAGAGAGAGATATATATATATATATACGCAATGTCCTTATGTATATAAACACGCTATCATAGTGTGTTTATATATATATATATTATAAGGACATTGCGTTGAGAGTATGCACTACCCAGATCCCTTTGACCAGGGGGTTACGGATTGACGGGTTCAGGTGTGGGGGGCTCCACGGTTCCATGGTGTTGAGTTTAGGGTTTAGGGTTGGGGGCTTAGGGTTTAGGGTTTAGGGTGGTGTGGGGGGTTGGGGAAAGATCCTTGGAAGCAGCAGGACGTCACCTACCACAGGGGCCTTGATAATTAGAATAGGGTCTGGGGCTCGTTATATTATAGTTATAGTAAGAAACCCCCAGCACCCTGTTCTAGTTATTAAGGCCCCTACGTTACTGGCCCTTGCACATCAGTGTCTCTGTTTGGCCTGTTCTTGGTAGTCGCCCTTCCTGTGGCCGCTGCATGACTTGTCAGGGAGGGACGGAGGTTGTCACCGGGTACATACCAGGGTTTTTTACAGCGTACCACGTCCCTTGGTTTGACAGCCATACTGCGGTAGCGCGAAAGTTTGACCTACTCGCGCTTGCATAGGAGGCCTCCATTCCCCGGTAAAATCCTGACAAACAGGATCTACCATGTACTCCTCCGGAACATCAGAAAGTAGTCCCTAAACCCTAAACCCTAAACCCTAAACCGTCTATCGTTTTCAACCGTTTATAAAACAATCCGCTAGCCAGGCCACGTAGTTTGAGCCTCCGGGCTCTCTGCTACTCCGCTGGAGGTCCCCAGAGTCTAGTACTTGGAGGTTCATGGGTAGTTATAAAAAGGGTTATAAGTAGGGTACCTAGAATTCTAACCCATATTAGGGGACTTATAAAAATACTTATAACTACCCATGAACCTCCAAGTAGGTCAACACTTCTGTCCTCCCGATGCATTGCGCCACCTAACCCCCTCGTGTATCCGAAGCCAAGACCCGATGCCAAGAACACCTTGGACATTAAAGGCCGTATCCCAAGTCTGAGGACTCGAATGCAGCTCCTTGGGACGCCATTGGCTTTTCCTGCCGGACCTATTGGGGAGGCCATCTGTCCCAAAGTAGCAGTAACCTTAACTCGCGACAGTTCTCGAGAACCGCGCAAAAGCTCCTATATATATATATATATATCATCCTGGCTTTCGTCGTTTCCTGCTGTTATTTTTTGTTGCTGTTGCCAGTTGCTGGTCGTTGTGTTGCGGGTGGCTGGCTCTTTACTTGGAGGTTCATGGGTAGTTATAAGTATGGTTATAAGTCCCCGAATATGGGTTATATTTATAGTTACCCTACTTAATAACCCCAAATATAACTAGCCATGAACCTCCAAGTAAGCTCCAAGCCCTGAATTCTCAACCCTAAACCCAAAACCCTAAACCCTCATTACCCCACTTATCCACTTATAACTAGCCATGAACCTCCAAGTAGGCCTTGCGGCGGAGGGGCCACGCTTTTGTTGGGCCAGGCTCGTACCTCGGTCGATGCTCACCTCACCTCTCACCCATCACCCCTCACACCGCACCCCTCACCTCACCTCACCTCACCTCACCTCATGCATATATATATATATATATATGTATATATATATGTATATATATATATATAATAAAGGTATGTATAAATAGATGTACATATATATATATATATGTATATATGTTTGTGTATATACATATACAATCTTTTAACAAGATCCTGCAATGTGCCTTCAGTATCATGAATATAAGCCCCTTGAGGTCCGCCCTGAAACCCTAAACTCCTGAAGCCCTAAAGCCCTAAACCCTAAACCCTAAACCCTAAAACCCTAAAGCCCACTAAACCCTAAACCCTAAAACCCTAAAACCCCAAGCCCCTGAAACCTAAACCCTAAAACCCTAAAACCGTAAAACTCTAAACCCTACACCCTAAAACCCTAAAGCCCTGAAGCCCTAAACCCTAAACCCTAAAACCCTAAACCCCATGAAGCCCTAAACCCCTGAAGCCCTAAACCCTAAACCCTAAATCCTAAACCCTAAACCCGAAAACCCTAAAAGCCCTGAAACCTGGAATCCGATTCTCTCGAGGGCGACTTTTCCGTCGACGAGGATCGGGTCAAGCTGGCTCCGGTTCTCCAGGAGGCCTTGTTTAGGGGATTTGGGGTTCAGGGGTTTGGGTTTAGGGTTTAGGGTGGAGGCCTTGGCGATTGGATTCCTTTAAGGGCTCTATAGGGTTTGGGGTTGAGGGTTTAGGGTTTAGGGTTTACGGTTCCTTAGCAGGGCTCGTAGAGAGAATCTATAACGGACTCGTGGGGTTTTGTAGGGTTTGCGGGTTTAAAGTGTTTGGGGTTTGAGGTTCAGGGGTTTAGGGTTCAGGGCACTAGGGTTTCAGGTTCTAGTCCTTTGGGATTACGGGGTGTAACATTCTGGGTCTCCTGTGGGGGTTTGCGAAAATAGGGACCCTAAGATAGGATCCTTATTACAAGGACCCCAAAATAAGGTACCCTAATTTTGCCCTAAACCCTAAACCCTAAACCCTAAACCCTAAACCCTCATTTCCGGAAGATCCCATATGGGCCTTAGGGTTTTGAGGCTCGTGGGTTGATGGCTTAAGGTTGTCGCGGATGAAGCCTATGTAAGACCTTTTTCTATCCTTTTTAATTTGGGTTTGGGGTTTAGGGCTGAAGGTTTAGGGTTTTAAGGTTTAGGGTTTAAGGTTTAAGGTTTAGGGCTTAGGGTTTGAGACTCAACAGCCCTCACAAAGCCAGTGGAAATCTTTGTAACGCCCAGAAGAATCCTGATGAATTCCTGTTTAACATTCAATTCCAAATCGGTTTAGGGTTTAGGGTTTGTATGAGTCAAAAACCGTTTGAGGCCTTGGTGCAACGATTGCGCAACTTCCTGAAAGCAGGAGACTTGGTGAGCTACTGGGCTCAAGTGACGTAGGGTTTAGGGTTTAGGGGTTTAGATTGAGTTCCTTGAGGGGATCTATCAGGGCTCTATATGGAGAAGGGGTTTTAAGCTTGATGTCTAAGCTGAACTAGGCTCACATCAGTGATTTTGGTCTGGTGCTGTTAGGTCTCCTTGAGGAACACTGAAAAGTGTAACTTGCGTGTGTTGGCGATTGTGGAAGGTTGTTTGTAAGCCCTCTTCCCTAAACCCTTAACCCTAAACCCTAAACCCTTAAACTCTCTAAAGTTGCAGCCATCAGCCCTCTCAGCCTAGAGCCTTAACTCCACAAGCCGCGAAGCCTTAAACCCGAAACATAGGGTTTAGGGTTTAGGGTTTAGGATTTTGGGAAAGGCTAACCTCCTCGCCTTCGCATGGAACCGCTATCGACCCCCAAGAGGAATCCTCAAACGAACCACTGTTGAGGCCATAAGCCCCAAACCCTACACCCTAAAACCCTGAACCCTAAACCCTAAAACCTTAAAGCCCCAAGAGCCGAAACCCTACAACCTAAACCCTGAACCCTGAAAGCCTACACCCCGAAAACCCTAAACTCTAAAGCCCTAAAACCCTGAACCTTAAAACCCTAAAACCCTTAAGCCCTTAAACCCTTAAGCCCTAAAGCCCTAAAACCCTGACACCCTGAAGCCCTAAAGCCCTAGCACCCCAAAAGCTTAAACCCTAAAGCCCTAAAGCCCTAAAACCCTAAAGCCCTAAAGGCCTAAGCCCTAAAGCCCTAAAGCCCTAAAGCCCTAAAGCCCTAAAGCCCTTAAACTCTAAAGCCCTAAAGCCCTAGACCCTTTAGGGTTTGCTCAAGGGACTGAGGTTATGTAGGGGTTTCATGGGACTATATAAGGGGTATATAGGGTATTAGGATTAGGGGTCCCTTATAGGGATCCCACCTATTGTCCCTTACTCTGGTCATCGAGCCTATAACCATACTTATAACTACCCATGAACCTCCAAGTAGACTAAACCCCAAACCCTAAACCCTACACCCTAAACCCCAAACCTAAACCCTAAACCCTAAACCCTAAACCCTAAACCCTAAACCCTAAACCCCAAACCCTTTAGGGTTTAGGATCCCGCCCCGCCTTACTCAGGTTACCGAGCCTTGCTGAACTTGCAGGGCTTCTACTTGCGAGGACTTCCTGCCGAACCTGGCTCTTCTTATGCTTTAGGGCTTTTAGGGCTTTAGGCTTTAGGCTTTAGGGTTTAGGGTTTAGGGTTTAGGGTTTAGGGTTTAGGGTTCAGGTCTTTAGGGGTTTTGGGGGTTTAGGGGTTTCGGGGCTTAGGGTCTTAGGGGTTTAGGGTTTTGGTGGTTTAGGGTTTTAGGGGTTAAGGGCTTTAGGTTTTTAGGGTTGTGAGCTTTCAGGGTTTAGGCTTAGGGGTTTACGTTTTAAGGTTTAGGGGTTTAGTAATTTAGGGTTTAGCGTGTCTTGGTTTAGGGTTTGTAGGGATGTCGTCATGCTGGCCACCGAGAAGTTCGTTTTTGAAATTTCGGGTTCAGGCTTTAGGGTCTAGGGACTTTTGTTTCTGTTAAGTGGACGCAAGAAGTGTGTTGCCAGTATCGTGGATTCATGGGTGTTGAGTGGGGTGTCCCGGACAGTAATTCAGGAACTTCTTCGTTTAGTTACAGCAAGGTAGAGGTGTTTCTGCGATTCCATCATGCGCTTCGGGACATCGACAGTGAACTATAAAGTTACTTTCCTAAACTCCTAAAGCCTAGACCCTAAACTCCTGAAGCCTAACCCTGCCCCAAGATCACAAACGCAAAAACTCGACAAAAGAACCCTAAGCGCTTAAACTCCAACTGCCCAAAACCCGGACGAGCCCAGGAACCTGCGACAGACTTTGTCCCTGGCTTTGAGCAGACAGAAGCCGAGGGTAGTTTTCCTCTGGTTGACCAGTTTCTCTACCAGAGCCCTGGGCCGCGTTTGCCTTTTCTTGTCGAGGGTTTACAGTTCAAGCCCAAAGCCCGAAACCCAAACCCTACAACTCCCTAAAATGCGTTTAGGATTTACGGTTTAGGATGTTGATGGCTTTGAAGGTGTTTTTGTTCGGGAAGTTGCTATACGGATTTCAGGGCTCGGGCGCCTTAGACGGCTGGGCTTAGTGTTTAGGGTTTGGGGCTTATAGGCTTTAGCTTTTAGGGCTTAGGGTTTGGGGATTGTAGAGTTTTAAGGTTTAGGGTTTGATGTTCTATCCGCTCAGGCTTTTCAGGGTTTGTGGTCTCGTTGTGCTTTGAAGTTTGTTGTTTTCGGGCCTTGGGTTTAGGCCACATTACCAGGGCCGTGGCTTGTTGAGTCTAGCGTAGCCCTACTTGGAGGTTCAGGGGTAGTTATAAATGGGGTTATAGGCAGGGTAACTAGAATCATAACCATACTTATAACTACCCATGAACCTCCAAGTATCCCGTATTACCGTACTTCTGCATTGGCCCCCGACGATGCATAACCTGCAATACGGAAGCCTACAAAACATTGGAATAGGATTCCCCTATAGTCCCAAATTTAGTTCTGAGTAATAATAGCTGAAAAGGTACCCTTCTAACATGTTTGGGTTTCGGGTCTTGGTTTTTGTCTTTAATGTTAGGCTTTCGTACAACGAGCTGCCAGGGTTCAAGGTTTGGGTTTAGGGTTTCAGGGATGACGGAATCGGGTTCAGTTTCTATTACCGCCAACTTTTATAAGCCTACATGCCACGGGCGGCTCCTCAACATTCCCCAGCCTCAACCCTAAACCCTAAAGGTAGGTTTTGGGGGCTGCATCTCCGAACCCTAAACCCCTAAACCCCTAAACCCTTAAACCGTGAGGAATGGCTTCAACTCTGCTCACGATTCGGACGCCGCTGGACTGACACCGCTCCACTGTGCCGCGCTGGCAGGCAATACTGCATTGATGCTGAGCTGAGTTTAAAGTTTTGGAGGTCAAGGTGTTGTGTTTGTTTTTAGGGTTTAGGGTTTAGGGTTTAAAGTTTAGAGGTCAAGGTTTTGTGTTTTGTTTAGGGGGGTGAGGGCGGGGGCACACAGGCTCTAATCGCGCAGTGCCCTCGTTGCTTGAAGGTTCACGGCGTACTTTCATGTACGCGTATGGGTAAGGGTCGGCTACTCGGCATCTAGAAACTTGATGAAAATACATTGGACTGTAATTGCGGTTTACGATGACTACTCCCAAAACGCTTGGTTTGAGTACTATGGTTTAGGCTCAGGGTTTCGGGTTTAGGGACTATACCCAGAGCCTTGATAAGGGTCTCGCTGCACATGTAAGATACCTTAACAAGTTGTTTACTCTCGAAAATGTCAAACGAACACGCAGTGAGCTCTCATCACATGCGTAGTCAGTTCTCCAAATTAGGATCCGTTTTTTTGGTCCCCCAAAATAGTATAGGGCACCTTTATAACCAAAAAGAAACTAAACGGGACCCTGAGTTAGAGAACTACTCATATCTTGGCCTGGTTTCCTATAGCGTCTTTTCTGGGTTTAGGGTCATGGGTAGTTAGAAGTATGGTTATAAATCTAGTTGCCCCACTTATAACCCCATTTATAACTACCCATGAACCCTTTGGGGTGTAGGGTTTAGGTATGATTTACACCGCCTCAAGATTGTTGTTTTCTGGTTCGAGACTTTCGGAACGAAGGTTTAGGGTTTAGGGTGAAGTTGTCAGAGCTTTTGCTCTTGTGCTGAGGTTTCGTTTATGAAGAATGCAAAACCCAGCTATCCTGAGCCCTAGACTGCTTAACCTTAAACCCTCAAAGCCCCAGCCGAGCCCTGAAATCCTAAACTCTTTTCAATGTTTACCCTAAACCCTTAACCCTAAACCCTAGTTTGAGGATCGATGATCTGCTGAAGCTTCGCGCTGATATCAACAGCCGGAGCAAGAAAGCTCTGCCCCGCTTTTCACTGATCCCGCAGATGTCTGCACTGGATCCTGAGCATTTTGTAAAACTGACCTTGTAGGGTTTAGGGTTTAGGGTTATAGGGTTTAGGGTTTAGGGGGAGTTGCCAAAAGATATGCGTAGGGTTTAAGCTTTTTGGGTTGGCTTAGGGTTTAGGGCAGTTTACGGTCTAGGGCACACCTTAGCGGTTTCGGATTAGTGTACACTGTATATATATATATATATACATATATATATATATATATTTGTTTTCCTTCTTATGGTGTCTTACACGTAGCTACTTCGCCAGAGCCCAGGATATGTGTACCTTCTTCAAGCACAATGATGCGGCTCGTCTTCTGCTGGCGCATGGAAGCAAGACGCAGGGGCCGATGGGATCTTGCATTGTGGTTGCCTCATCGGACACTCGGCAGCCTATCAAACTGGCCTTGTCATGTTTAGGTGCTAGGGTTTAGGAACCCTAAACCCTATGCAGTCATGATTCTTTCATGGCTCAGATTCGCCTCCATTCCGAATCCCCTAAGAAATCCTTGAAGCATGCAGGACGCCAGACCCTAAACCGGAAGCCCTAAACCCAAAGCCCCTAAGGACAAAACCCTAAACCTCTAAACCCAAAGCTCCAAGCCCTAAAGCCGTATACCCGTGGCAAATCAGGAGAACAACCCGCAGGGAGTTCGCATGCTTCTGAACTCCGGAAGCAGCCCTCTCGCCACTTGCAGATTTGAGCTCAGGGTTTAGGACTTTAGATCATCCCAAAGTCTTAAACCCCAACCCCTCAACCCTAAACCTCAGATACATCATCCTCGATCCGAACCCCGAATCCATAACTGCCGAAACCCTTCAAGCTTGCCAGCATATGGGAGTTTCCGGGCTCTAGGGGACCCTAATATATTACCCTAAATAGTAGGGCCCTTATCATAAGGACCCCCAAATAAGGTACCCCTAATTTTTGGAAACTCCCATATTGTTATGTTCGAGCGAGAACACACTAGAGGGGACTGGAAAGGCCTGTAATTCCTGTCCTGGCGCGGTGCCCTGAAGACCTCAAACACCCCATAAGCCCCTAAGCCCTACCCTAAACCCTATAACCCTAAACCCTATAGCCCTAAACCTAAACCCTAAACCCTAAAGGCCCTAAACCGTGTAAACCCCTAAACCCCACACTCTAAGCCCTATAGCCGGCATTCCGAGTTCGGGCGATCTCTGGCCGCAAATCCTGACTTTTTTCTGTTTGTACAAGAGGCTCTCGGCTTCATTGGGTAACGTCTTATCCGTAACATGCTTCGAAGCCGCACATCATTAGCCCTGTCAGCCCTAAACCCAATAATAACTCTATGAACTCTGAACCGTGCATCAGAAAGCATCATAAACCTGAGTTGAGCCTTACCCCCCCCCCCCCCCATAAACCTTATCCCCGAAACCCTGAACGCATGCATCCTGAGTTCAATTCCTTCGCACCAGATCCCCACAGATCCTGAGGACTTGCAGCTGCACACCCTACCCAACGCCTAGGGCTGAGGGTTTGGGAATCTTTCCAGCTGAAAGCAGCAAACCCAAACATATGGGTAGTTCTCTAAGTTGGCCCTAAAAAATAGGTGCCGTATTACAATAAGAACCCAAAAAGGGACCATAATTTTGACGACCACCCATATACACCTTTAAACCACGAAATTTTAGACCCCTGAGTCTTCATAGAACTCTTGAAGAGCCCTTAGAGAGCCCTGGTCGAGTTCTAGTCTGGGCTCTGGAGTACTGTACCAGACTTGATGAATACATTTTTTGGGGACGTGTTCCTCAACGGAGCCTTTTTGAGGTTTAGGGTTTGGGGTTATTATGAAACAGAGTCATTTTTGGGTTTAGGGTTTAGGGCTATTATGAAACAGGATCATTTTAGGGGTTTGGGGTTAATTGGGGGTTATCATGAAACACAAGTTTAGACTTGTTTCTCCCTGGTTAATGTAGGGGCCTCAATAACTAGAATAGTGTTTTGGGGATTCGTTATGATAGTTATAGTCTAATATGCCCCCAACCCTGTTCTACTTATTAAGGCCCCTACAGTACTGCAAGGCCCAACTTTCGAGCCCTCACCAAACCGCCCTAAACCCTAAACCCTAAACCCCTAATCCCTAAACCCCTAAACCTACAGGCGCTAACCCCTAAACCGTAAGCCCTAAACCCTAAAACCCTCAAGCCCTAAAGCCCCAAATTCCTAAGCCTTAAACCCTAAACCCTGAAGCCCTAAGCCCTAAACCCTGAAGCCCTGAAGCCCTAAAGCC